CGGCCGATCGCGGCTCCCACTGGCCGCGGTTCGCTGCTCCAGGCCAATGGGGGCAGCAGGAAGCGGCGACCAGCACATCCCTCGGCCCGTGCCGCCCCCATTGGCCTGGAGCGGCAAACCGCAGCCAGTGGGAGCCGCGATCGGCCGAACCTGCGGACACGGCAGGTAAACAAACCGGCCCGGACCGCCAGGGGCTTTCCCTGAACAAGTGGTGGACCGGGGCTTTGAGAAGCACTGATGTAGAATGTATTTTGCTTTGTTTTTTTAGGATGAGAGACGACAGCCCAGGGCAAAAAGCGGTGCTATATCTATTATTCTGGCAAATATGGTCAGTGTTTAATGTATAACTATTGTACTCCTGTGTGCGTTCATTCTATATTTAAGTATTTTGGTATATATGTTGCACTTCATTCTAGGTGTTCAGTCCAGAAGTGACTTTAAAACCCACTTCTAAACCAGATATAATGTGGACAAATAATACTTGGACTGACCACTCGTTTTGTAGCTGCAATATGAAGAAAAAAATGCTATAAAGTTTACAACTCTTACTTGCACGCTCAAAATGAATTGTGAGTGAAGAATCTGAGTATCGTGTCTTTATATGTTGGCTAAACATTAGTCACCGTGAAGTCAATGTGACTATTCCCATGCTTAAAGTTAACCGTGTTCCTAAGTGTTTGCAGGATCCAGGGCTCAAATTTGTGGATCAAGTATAGGGATGTCAGTTCTGCATTTTTGCTTTAAATGGTCATTCTCCCCTCCCCCTCCCCCCCATGAATTGAATGGGCTCTATAACAGTTTGAGATACCACAAAATGAATTTTTAACACAATGCCAAAAGTTTATCATTGTGGCTTTCAAAGTAAACCTGCATTGTCAATTCCAAACATTAACCCTGTGATAGGAACAAAGGTGGTATTTCACAATTCTTTATTTGCGTTTTTGAGTAATTATCTTTGTACATTATGGCTAAACTGCCCCTATTTACATAAAATATGTGCAGAGTTTTTAAGCTAATGGCTGGGGGGAAAGCTGAGTGGTGCAGAGGAGCACATGATTCAGACAGATGTCTCTTAGGGGAGGATTTATTAAAGGGAATGTTCTATATCCTGGTAAAGAAGACAGGACAGAAGTTGATAAAATACAGGTAGAAGAGAAACAGTCAAAACAAACAAAAAAAAGAGTCCCATTCAATTACATCACATGAAGGCAGACAACTGAATACTGACAAATTTTATAAGTGCTTGTACACAAATGCTAGAAGTCTAAATACTAAGATGGGTGAACTTGAGTGTCTGGTATTAAGTGAGGATATTGATATAACTACATACCATAGAATCTCCATGGATAGAAATTGCATGCCTGAATAAGACAACTCTAGCAGTAGGAATATACTACCATCCATCTGACCAGAATGGTGACAATGACTGAAATGCTCAGGGACATTAGAGAGGCTACAAAAAACCACCCTCAATAATAATGGGGGTTTAAACTATCCTCATATTGACTGAGTACACATCACCTCAGGATAGGATGCAGAGATGAAGTTTCTAGACACCATTTTGCTTCTTGGAACAGCTAGCCCTGGGACCCACAAGAAGAGAGAGGCGACTCTTGATTTAGTCCTAAGTGGTGCACAGGATCTGGTCCAAGAAGTGAATATAGTTGAACTGCTCAGTAATAACGACCATAATGTAATTAAATGTAACATCCTCATAGGCCAGAAAATACCAAAGAAACCCACCACAGTAGCTTTTAACTTCAAAAAGGGGAGCTACACAAAAACGAGGAAGCTAGTTAAACACATATTAAAAGGAACAGTTGCAAGAGTGAAATGCCTACAACCTACATGGAAACTTTTTAAAACCACCACAATAGATGCTCAAACTAAAATGTGTACTACAAATAAAGAACAAAACACTAAGAGGACCAAAAATATGCCACCAGGGCTAAACAGAGTAGGAGAAGCAGTTACAGACAACAACAACAAAAAGACATCCTTTAAAAATTGGAAGTTAAATCCTACTGAGGAAAATAGAAAAGACCGTAAATTTCGGCAAGTCAAGTGTAAGAGGAAAATTAGGTAGGCAAAAAAAAAAAAAAAGAAGAACTTGAACAACTAAGCAAAAGATACCAAAATTAACAGCAAAAACATTCAAGTACATCAGAAGCAGGAAACCTGCCAACCAATCAATTGGGCCACTAGATGATTGAGGTGCTAAAGATGCACTCTAGAAAGACAAGGCCATTGCAGAGAATTCTTTCCATTGGTCTTCACTGCAAAAAATGTGAGCCATTCTTTTTAAGTAACAAATATGGGAACCTGTCCCACATTGAGGTGTCAAAAGAGAAGATTTAGGAACAAATTGATTAAATAATAAGAAGTCACCAGGACAGATGATATTCACCCAAGAGTTCTGAAGGAACTCAAATATGAAATTGCAAAACTGTGATAAATAAAACTTATCACTGAAATCAGTCTCCGTACTAGATGACTAGAAGGGTAGCTAAATGTAACACCAATTTTAAAAAAGCTCCAGAGGTGATCCTGGCAATTACAGGCCTATAAGCCTAACTTCAGTAGCAGGCATATTGGTTTAAACTATAGTAAAGAGCAATTATCAGACACACATGAACAGGGCCGCCCAGAGGATTCAGGGGGCCTGGGGCAAAGCAATTTTGGGGGCCCCATCCATAAAAAAAAGTTGCAATACCATAGAATACTATATTCTCGTGGGGGCCCCTGTGGAGCCTGGGGCAAATTGCCTCACTTGCCCCCCCCCCCTTTGGGCAGCCCTACAGATGAACACAATTTGTTGGGGGAAGAGTCAACACCACTTTTGTAAAGGGATGCCTCACAAATCACGCCTCACCAATCTATTAGAGTTCTTCGAGAGTAGTCAACAAACATGGACAAGGGTGATCCAGTGGATATAGTGTACTTGGACTTTCAGAAAGCCTTTAACAAGGTCCCACACCACAGGCTCTTAAGCAAACTAAGCAGTCATGGGATTAGAGGGAAGGTCCTCTCCTGGATCAGTAACTGGTTAAAGACAATAAACAACGGGTAGGAATAAATGACCAGTTTTGAGAGTGAAGACAGGTAAATAGTTGGTTCTCCCAAGGATCTGTACTGGAACCAGTGATGTTCAACATAGTCATAAATTATCTGGGAAAAAGGGTAAACAGTGAGGTAGCAAAGTTTGCAGATGATACAAAACTATTCAAGAGAGCTGTCAGCTTTGGACTTAAAGTGTTACAAAGGGATCTCACAAAACTGGGTGCCTGGGCAACAAAATGACAGATGAAATTCAATGTTGAAATGCGCAAAGTAATGCACATTTGGAAAATATTCCACCTAATACATACAAAACGATGGGTCTAAATTCTCTTTCTTGAGTGGTAAAAATTAGCTTGGAGTCATCATAGATCTTCTCTAAAAACATCTTCTCAATGTGCAGCAGCCGTCAAAAGAGCTATTAGGAACCATTAGGAAAGGGATTGATCATAAGACAGAAAATATCATAATGCCACTGTCCATGGTACGTCCATACCTTGAATACTTTGTGCTGGTGCCCCATCTCAAAAAAAAAATAAAAATAAAAAAATTGGAAAACATACAGAGAAGGGCAACAAAACCGATTAGGGGTATGGAACAGCTTCCATATGAGAAGAGATTAAGACGACTGGAACTGTTCACACAATGCACAGTCAACCTGTGGAACTTGTTGCCAGGGAATTTTGTGAAAGCCAGAAGTATAACTGGGTTCAAAAAAGAATTAGACAAATTTATGTAAGATAGGTCCATCAATGGCTACTAGCCAAGTTGGTCAGGGATGCAGAGGTTGGGACTGGATGACAGGGGATGGATCACTTGATAATTTCCCTGTTCTGTTAATTCTTTCTAAAGCATCTGGCACTGGCCACTGTTGGATGACTGGATATAAAGCAAAATGGGCCATTGGTCTGAACCAGTATCACGTTAGATATACTTTTTGTACTGAGTGCACAGAATCTCTTTTTCAAGACTATGCTCTATTTTAACTTCTAGTAGCCTTGATGGTTTATAAGACCATTATCTGAAAATCCTCCCTTCATGAAGTACAGTACCATAGCACACTCAGTAAAGCCAGTTTTTCCAAAGGCCTGCTGATTTGAGTGTGCACATAATTTGTCCATGTGTATATGGCTAACTATCTGGCATGCATATACAGTTGTGGATATTGCATGCAAATTGAAGCAGGTGCAAATTTGAAATAAATTGGAAGTGCTTTGGAAACGTAGCTTTCAATATAAAAATACTGATTAGTTATTCCTACTGAAAAACTGATCAAACATCAGAATTATACACAATCATTGTGGTATGTCACTGTTGGAAGTTGATAGCATTTTAGATATTTATTGGTCAAAAATCATACAGTGCTTTAAAAAAAAAAAATCATAAAATTATGCTTACCAGCATTGCAATGTTCAGGAACAACAAACTCAAAAAGGTCCTGTGTAAAGAATGGGGCGTTATCATTATCATCCTCTATTTTGATTACATGCGGCAGTGGTTTCTCTGGTGAATATCCATCTGGAGTGGTTGCATAGCAAATTATCTATAAGAGAGAGAAAACCTTAGTTGCCCACTGTTCTAGAGCAGGGTGAAATATTCCTTTTCAGCCCAGTGGATAACAGGATCTACAGAATAATTTCTGCAACGCACAATGTCAAATATCCTTTTCATAAGCAGACAAAAAACTTAATAGAAGTAAATGGCTTATGTCTGCAATAGATATATTTGCATATACTAATCTTTCCTTCTTGACCATGGAGGACAAAGCTGAGCTCTTTCTAGCCATTGGTACACTAGGTTTCTTTTCCTTTTGTGATTAATGGTTTCTGCTTCAGGATAACATGCTAGACCCAATTTCAGTAACAAATTTGTTTTCAATCAGTTGCAAGAGGAGATTATTGATGTTACAGGCTGGCAGTGGTAGAAGTAATGCATTTAACTGCTTCCCAGCCCTCATGACAACCATTTGCATTATTTTCCACAGTTACAAGTGAAAGATTTCCATCCTGGGATCTGAATACACTGACCCACTGCCAGTCACAAAGACACCATCCTTAACCAACCCATCTTGTGATCCAAGCGTCACACTCAGTGGTGCTCACTTAAGCAGAGTGCAGCTTTTGGCAAAAGTGGAAACAGAGGAGTGAGCAACCAATGCAATACCAGCAATTTTGTGTGTGGGGACTATGTAGACGTAGATGCAAGAACAAGCTACAGAATGATTGCTTCAGTTTTACTGAAAGGTGCATTCCCTCTGCCTCTGGGGGTAGTGGCAGCACTTTTTGTAAACTTTCCACACTTAATGTTATTTCTATATTCTCCTTGGTGGGCAATCTGAAGCTGCCTTGTCTGACACTTTCCTCCTCACTGTCAAAGTCAGACATACTTGGCAGTTCTACAAATTCCCGTGGCAGAGAGACATTAAACTTATTAATTCCATAAGTTTATCTTCTGGCATACCTCCTTCCTCACCCTACAAAGAAACGTTGGCTGACATTAGCATGCCACACTCTAGTGTTGCCAAAAACAGCAGAGCCAACACTTTGTATAGTTTTGCTTGTTTCTACCTGAGACAACAGTCAGGCAAGTAAAAACAACGTGTTTTCAGTAGTGCATAGACAAATGGTGTCCAAACATAGCAAGAGTCTCTGATACTCTTCTAATTATGAGGTGCAGAAAGTGAAGAAACAATGGCAGTAGACATAATTGACCATGTGTTTCTTATTTGCTTTCTTTTCAATTAAGGTCTGAGCCTGGCTAACCAACTGCCTAAGAGAAAGGAGTAAGTATATTCACTGAGAAATAAGCCGGAGGGAAGCAGAATGAACAAACATCTAATGTGCAGTGGAATTATTAGACTGTCTTATTTTTACTATTTCCCTATTGTGTAGGAAAACAATGGAATATTAATGTTCCCAACAGTCCATTGGAAGCAGAGCTATCCACTTCTGCCACCTCCTTACACCTCTCAGCCAGCAGAGAGAGCAGTTTACCCATTTAATAAACATTAAAACTGAACTGAACAAGCAAATGCTGAGGAACTAATACAGCTCTCTTGATTATCTTTTTGTCTCATTTTAACTTTACGTAGACTTTTTCAATTCTTCCACCAGAAAAGAAGTCTTGTAAAACTAGATCTTCCTTCACTCCCACCACCAATTTCTGCCCTGTAAATATCAGGGATACTATTTGGAATAGTTGTCTGAGCACAGATGCATTTTCCTCCCATTCCCGTTAGAACACACCAGTGAAGTACTTTAGCAATAGAATGAAAATACATTTAATTGTGTATACAATTTAGGCCCTTACCGTAAAGCTTGGAAACTGTTCACGGTCTACTGGGCCAGTAGCAAAAATATTCCCAGTTTCTCTCTCTATATAAAACAAACCCTTTGGATCTTGATCAATTCCAGGACCAGCTGCAGAGTAATGAATGACGTAGTTTTGGGCTGTGTCAGACTGGACCTATAAAGAGTAATTTGTTAAACACAGACAAAATAATTCATCATTAAACACCTTTCTGTTTCTGTGTTTTCTGAATTAATATAAGTGTGGGATAGAAAACAGTATACATCCTTTCTGAAGGGTGACAAAATCCAAGTCTTAGGTCAGGTACTACAGCAGCTCAAACTTTTACACAGAACAGGAAAATGGTCTGCTTTGTGCCAATCTTCAGGGCCGGCTTTAGCAAGTGCGGGGCCCGATTCGTGGGGCTTGTACTCACCGGGCGGCGCGCCGAGTCTTCAGTGGCACTTCGGATTGCTGCGCTCCGGGCGGGGCGGCAGCCCGAGGAGCGGGGCCGCGGGCTTGCCGCGCTCTGGCTGGACACGGGGCCCGATTCGGGGGGAATCGGCCTAAAGCTGGCCCTGCCAATCTTAACTACCTTTATAGTAAATGCACTTCTGAGAAAGGCTGCTAATCCTTCACAAATACCAATGGAAGAAAATCCAGCTTGGAGTAGAGTGCATGGGGAAGGGGAAGATGTGAGTAAAATATATTTAGTCTCAGCATCATTATAGACAGAGCTGCCATGTGTAGCTAAGGTTGCCTAATGCTTTTCATTAGAAACCCCTACTTTCAATCACTCACTCATAACCATTCTGGTTAACATTTGCTATGTCTGAGATTGACTTTTTAGGCAAAACTGGTTCAGCTATTTATGACTGGAAGTGGTTTGTGGGGGTTTTTGCCACTGTTAGTTCTTACTAAAAAGTTTCTTTCAAGAAATCTAGAACCTTCTTTCTTTGGAGCAGGGACTTGATATTTGGCAAGGGGATAGCACTGGGGTCAGTGAGATGCCTTTTTTCTTGTCCTCATAAAAATCCACCCAGATTTCACCTGATTATAAGCCTCTAAATAGTAGTATTTACACATAAGTAGAGCTTTTTAGAGGAATGCTGCTAAAATCTCCAGAAGTGCAATAAGCATGCTCCAGACCCACAGATCTCCATAGCAACTGCAATGAACATGTTTTCAGGCCCCACCCGGTCTCCTACATAGTAGGCAGAGAGCTAGTGCTCCAGACAGAACATAAACACAGCAGCAGCATCTCTCCTCTTTCGCCTCACTGAAGAAGTGCTGGGCAAGGCTGATGTTAATAACTTTGCACAGTTCACAGCCTTTATTATTGAGCGAAACCTCACACTTCTATTTTACTAGGCATGCAAATAGCATTCTCTCTCCTTTACACTCTTAATTTGGCCCCTTTATGTATATGCATGCTACAGTCTTCAGTGACATGATCATATTATTTGTTCTATGGGACCCCAGTATAGACAAAGAATGAGACAAAAGTTCTGAGAAATAGGACTGGGATTCAGGAGTTGTGTTCTAGACTTACTTCTGCCTCAGACTGCCTATGTGTATTTGGCAAGACTATCAATGCATATACACAAAGGGGCTGAATTAATCTTACGATTTTTTTCCTGAAAAGCAGTTACTAAGGATTCACCGTTGCTTTTCTAAAACAATAATGTAGTTGGTTTTCTTCACTTTTTTGCAAAGATGCCATCTGAATCCAAAGGCAGTGGCTTACAGTATTTTGTACTGGTCAGATAGGAAAGTCACTTACATTATAAAAATAGCTGGTGTATAAAATGTACCTGTTGAATTTGCATTGGAAAAGGTCCAAGAGAGTTCTCCATCATAGAGGATGGGAGAGGAGCCCACCTTCTTTTGGTTCGCCTGAGGACTGTATCTCTAGTATGTCTTGTCTTAGGTGTCTGGATTTAGAAGACCAAAAGAAATTAAATAAAGATCAACTCAAAAATTCTTAAGGTTTACATTCTTATTTGCTTCCCCTCATTTCCCGCCCCCCGCCCCCAGCCTCACAGATTTTTCAGAACTCTCTCCAAATCTTAAGGACCAGTTTTTGCTCTTTTAAATCCTCTTTTTCACCATTCTACTTAATCCTGGTGTCTTGAGAATTCTTCAGCCCTGTGCAACATTCATTATTTTAATACTTCCTACCAATATACAGTGCTCATGAAGTTTTTTAATTGCTTAAAATTTGCTTTTCTAAAATCTTAATGCCCTCGATGAACGTCATAATTTCCAGCCTTTGCCACCTCAAGGAGTCCTGAAAAATTAAAACCTATGCACTTATTAGGTATTGCTAAATTAAAAGTACACAATCTACTATACAATAGCTATGCCTGATCATTTTAAGAGTTATAAACAACAACTTTTACACAATGAGAAGCCAGACTGTAAAAAGAGAGTTTCCAAAAAATAAAAAGTAAAACGTCTGTAGCAATTGTGAGCCTACCTTTTTTTGATGAGCTAGCAAATTGACATGTATCTTCTTTTCTTCATGTCTTTGAATGTCCTTGAGTAATATGGTAAAAGTCTTTTTTTCAGAAGATAAAGAAATGATATTTGTTGTATACACAGAACCATCTTCTAGAATTCTAAAGTCAGGATCGCTTGAACTGAGATGTTCTGTGGACTTAAGGCACTCTTTCAGATTTACTGTAAGAAAGAAATTTCAAAGATTCTCTCAAGTCACAACAAGACAAATGGTTTCAAACTTACATGCTTAAAGTTTGGTTTATATTTATACACCTATGTAAAAGTGGCCCGATTTCGAGTCTATGTGCTTAGCACCTCTAAAGGCCAGACTACTTTTATTTAAGAATTTAGAGCCCAGCTTCTGAACAAGCTTACATTCATGTTGCACATCCATTCATTCGTTAAGCACATTAAGCCATTTGCAAAGGATACTTGGCCATAGCGAGTACTTTACACAGACACTGTTGGGGGGGGGGGGGAGGAAATAGGTTTAATTTGGGTGACTAATGTTTCCCAAAGTAATATAATTCTTCTTGTGTATTTTTTGCCCCCCAAAGTGCTTACCTATCCTAAAATAGTGCCATCACCCATGTACATAAATAATTTTGCTACAAGACAGTGGGTGAAATCTTTTCTCCATTGAAGTCATTGGCAAGATTCCAACACACTTCAACGGGACCAGGATTTTTTCCAGTATGGTCAGATAAACTTATTCATAAAAACAGATTCCATCTCAGTGTTTCCTAAGTATAACCACTGAGGGGGTAATTTGACAGTGTTCCTTTCTCTTCTTAAAAACAGCCTGCCTTACTGTTGAATGTTCAAACATTATTACAGAGCATTTCAGCAAATAATACCCCTTATTGTTCAGCATTCAAGACACCAGGGAATCTTCCTTCCTTTGCTAATGGCACTGCTTTCCCATAAGTGAGCACTTGAATATGAATTCTGCCTCTGAGGCAAGGTAAGTCAGCATTATTCCTAGTACTGAACAGCTCTGTGTATTGTTATATCCTGTAGGATATTAAAATCATACAGAACTTAGCAATTGTGGGGAAAATCCTTGCTTATTTTACTATTGTGCTATGAGTCACCAGTTGTATTACAACAAAAATGGCATTCTTTCTCAATAAAATGTTAAGGAACAGCATTCAGGCTACAATGGCATGGATAAATATTTGTAGACAAACAGATGCATTGTATAAAATTCTTCCATTTAGTAGTCCTTTATGGTTAAAACTTTTTGAAATATTCTTCTTGAATAAAGTGAAATTAAATGAATTACTTTCATATTCATTCAAGTTAAAAGAGGATACATACCCACCTCCCTCATACAAAATACACAATGATCAGCTGCATAGATTTTCATTATAAAAACTGACATTAAGGTTAGCTTCTCCATTGCATGTCCTTTTTATTCACCCTCATTTTAAAGGTAGTCTTGATTAATAAACATTCAACAGACTGTGATGGGATAAAAATCTACTGTTCCTTCAGTAGCGACTAGGGCCACTACCCTGGCCCACGCTCCAAAACTGTGCCAATACTGGTATAAGACAGCCTCAGATTCAGCTCTCAGAGGATCTCCATTGCGTGGGAAGATCCTCAGGTGGCACAGAGGCTCTGTAGCAACTCCTACATCACACCCTCCCAGATGCTGCCACAGGAGACTAATCTGGAAAAAGAGGGTGTTGTCTGGGCTTCCCTAATCCCCGTCAAATTGCTTAAACTTGGGCTGCTCAACCCAGTATAGAACAGCCCGAGGACTGAGGAACTTCTCTCCTGAATACTGCACTAAATACTTCATAGCCACAGCTGAGGATTTGGCCATATGTGATTTCACTGCTCATACGTCAGTTACACAGGAAAAATCTGGTTTTGGTTGTTTTTTTAAAACAATCCAAGTTAAATACTATAGGGCTTCACGGTCCACTTTGGTCAATTTCACGGTCGTAGGATATTAAAAATCATAAATTTTCACGATTTCACCTATTTAAATCTGAAATTTCACGGTGTTGTAATTGTAGGGGTCCTGACCCAAAAAGGAGTGGGGGGGGGCGCGTGGAGCTCAAGGTTATTGGGGGGGGGAGGGGGTTGCAGTACTGCTACCCTTACTCCCGCAGAGCTGGGCAGCTGGAGAATGGTGGCTGCTGGTCGGGAGCCCAGCTCTGAAGGCAGAGCCGGCGCCAGCAGGAGCACAGAAGAAAGTATGGCATGGTATGGTATGGCCACTCTTACTTCTATGCTGCTGCCTGCAGAGCTGGGCCCTCGGTCAGCAGCCGCCTTTCTCCAGCTGCCCAGCTCTGAAGACAGCGCAGAAGTAAGGGAGGCAATACTATGACACCCACTCCCCCCCACAACTCCCTTTTAGGTCAGGACCCCCAATTTGAGAAACACTGGTCTCCTTCATGAAATCTGTACAGTATAGGGTAAAAGCACACAAAAGACCAGATTTCACAGGGCAAGACCAGATTTCACAGTCTATGACGTGTTTTTCATGGCCGTGAATTTGGTAGAGCCCTAACTATAGAAAATGTTTCCCTTCTATGTAAGCTATGAGTGTTCAGCACTTGCAAAGATTAGACCACATATTTAGATCTTTTTTTAGATACCTATCTTTAGGCATCCAAGTTGGAAAATGTTGGCCAAAACTTCTGCCTTGAATAAAAAATAAATATGCTAGTAATTGGTTATAACAAGAATCAAAATGTGCACATGCTGCTGGTGAGCAGCGTTAAAATGTATAACAAAACACAGCAAATCCTTCAGTAAAAGGCTAATCCAATATGCAGTTGAATTTAACTAACTGGGTGTTATCCCAACTGCAATAAATTGTATTACAAAATAAATCAGTATCTCCTCTTCATTGTAAAAGCAGCTACAGAAATGGTGAAATGATGATGTAGAGTTTTGAAGGACATTTTGAAGCTTCTCACCTCTGCCAACTAATGTTCCAGCCTCTAATTTAGAAGGAACATTAAAAGTGACTTTCTTGCAAGCTTCACAAAATAAACTCAATACCTGAAAAGGAAAGAAAACAAAAAAGAATAGTCACCCTTGCTGTGAAAGTATTTTTAAACATTGTTTGAAATCATGGCATAAAAAGTATATAGTAGCTAGATTTTTAGTCATGTTAAATAAAGAATACCAAAATGTAAAGTTGAAACATGTATTACATATTTTGGTGACTGATTTCAAGTTACATGAGTAATGAGACATACAGGGAGGTTTTTTGCTTTGTTTTTTTAAACAGTCCAGCGAAACAACCTAGAAAGTATCATTTATTACAAATGACAGGAAAGCACTGTGGCATAATGTACAGGGTTAGAACTCAGAAGAAGCAGGGTCTGTTCTTGACTCTCACCATGATGTGTGTGACTTCAGCAAAGATTTTAACCTGTAATTGAAATGCTGGGCCCAATTGACGTCACTGGCAGAACTCCTATTGACTTCAACAGGGTCAGGATTACACTCGGCCTCCCACTTCACCACATTTTGAAGTGGGAAAATAAAAATTTATCTTCCTTTAAAGAGTACTTTGGACTCCATGGATGAAGTGTACTAAAATTCAGCAATTCATAAAGTTTATTTCTATAGGGTTGCATTGATTTGTAATATTTAAAGGAATAAATATTTTATTAATGTCATATAATACTTGGCACATACATATTAATTTGTATCTTCAAAAGTACTTTACTAAAAAACTACTTAAGCCCCAAATCTTTCAATTGCATCTGATTTATAAGGCTCCAAATATGTGCAGAGGTCTGTCAACTTACACATATCGCATTACAGAATTGGGGCTTCAAACTTCAAAATGCCCATCTGTAGCTGGTAAATAATAACCACATTTTATAAAATGAAATGGAGGCATAGCGGTTCCTAGTTCAAAAATCAAGCAGTCTTTGAAATTCCAGCCAATCATGATTTTAAAACTGATTAATTCTGAAACACTCTGGATAACCACAGCATTTAAGATAATTAAAATATTGTGTTTGCATCAGTAAAAGCGGCTTTTCCTATTTAAATTATTTCTGTTGTTCACATCCTTTCATGAATCTCAACCATATAACTGAAATCACTATTAATTTCCCAGCTAACATTTGGGCTATTTGTAATAGTAATTAATCCTTACAAAACTTCCCTGTCTCTCCTGGAAAAAAAAAATGTTGCTTGTTTTTTAAATTAAAAATAATAAACAATATAATCGGACATAGTTTAGGAGTTTTTTTAGGCCAATGAAATGTTATTTCAAAACATTACCCAACAAGTTTAGTCTGATATTCACATGAAGAGTTATGGAAGTAATATATCCAGAGACAAGATAAGAATAGACCTGCTGGTAAACATAAAAGGGTTCAATATGCTCTGAGTGTATATATGACACAGATGCCTACACTTGCATTATGTAAGGAGTGTTTGTTATGTTGAGTTTTGTTTGTTTGTTTTTGTTTGTTTGTTGGGGGGTGCAAGAGAAGGCAGGGGAATTTTGCTTTCTTTAATTGGATTGGTAAGTAAAGTACGATTAGCATGGCTTTTTCCCCTCCATTCATCGAGATTACAGTAAGGGTAAGTAAATGGATTGTGTCTGGGCAGGTAAGTTTTCGTGAGAATATTCCAAGACTGAGTGCATTATATATTAAAATAATCAATTTCGCCTGGCAATAGTATTGAAAGTTTACTTACACAGGGACAATCTACTCACCTATTCTTTACTCTAATTATGATAATGGGGGGCGGCCAAGCTAATGTTACTTTACTCACCCATTAAAAAGAGTTGTTTTCCTGAAGGCAAATAGAATTGGTCAGGGCTGATAATTATATATGGGTATAAATAAATAAGTTACCCTGCACTGAAACGGGCCAAAAACTGTTCACCCTCCAATGCATGGACCCTCTAAAGGAAATAGGAGTACTTGTGTGAGCATGGTGAGCAGGATTTGGCTTCAGATGAGTAACTGAATTTGACTTTTATAAATACAACATAAAGAAACTTTCCTTTTCATACCTGATTTATTAATAATAAATATATGTATAAATGATAATCCTTTACTGCTGTAATAACCAATAGAATCACAGAATATTAGGGTTAGAAGAGACCTCAGGAGGTCATCTAGTCCAATCCCCTGCTCAAAGCATGTCTAGTCTGACAGCCCTAATCAAGAAACACCACTTAAAAAACGGAAAAAAAACAACAACAAAAAACCCACAAGCACCATTTTGGGCAGTTGGACTAAACAAATCTATAGATGTAGATGACAAAGCACCAAAGTCAATTTAATTTTTCTGACTCATCTAGTCTTCCCTTTCTAAAGTTCATATAAGTAAGGATTTCATACCAGAAAGGCACATATCCTCTTCACCATACAACATGATATTCCTTCCATGGCATATAATGGTGCCTTCCGACACTTTAATTTACAAGTTAATGTAAAAGGGGCAAAGGTTACTAAGCCCTACCAAAAAATATATATATATTTTTAAAGTGAGAAGCCAGGAATGAACTTCAACAAGCCTTCACTGACAACTTGGGCCCAAAAAGGTTCAAATGAATTCAGGAAAAGTTTTTGTTTGTTTGTTTGTTTGGGGGGGGGGGGGAATTTGTTAAGAGGGGGAAATGGTTCTCTCTGAATCCAGACTCTGCATCTAAGCCAAAGTTTCACTTTTTTTTTTTAAGTGAAACTTATTCAATAATCAGCAGGCACACAGTTAACATTTCACTAACGCTCACTACATTTGGTTTCTTCGAAAGAGAAAAAACGAGGCTGCTCTGACTGATCCAGACAAAACAAATCAACGCATCTCGGGGGGAACGGGGGGACCACTCCAAACACACACAACTACCACTGCCCTAGCCCTGGTACAAAGAACAGCTTTCCCCGCGCCGCTGCTTACAGCCTCACCAAAACCTTGCGGGTAACCACTACGGACCGTATCCTGCGCGGGTGGCCCCAAACTCTTCCCAGCGGCGGCAGCGGGACCAGCCCGCAGAACACCGCGGCCCGGGAAGAGGCGCTGCGCCCGCTGTGGGGTGGGGAGCGCTGGCCACACTCACCAAGAGGCCGAAGAGGAGCTGCAGACAGGCGGTTCTGCAGAGCGAGCCCCCCTGGCGGGCTGCGGCGGGGGCCATCTCGGGGTGGCTGGGGGCGGCGGAGGCTGCTGGCTGAGTGCGCCCGCGGAGGAGCAGGGGGCAAGGCTGCTGCTGTTGCCGGTGCGGTGGCGAGCGGGAAGGCGGCGGCGACAGGCGGTGGCTACTTTCTTTTCCCTCTTTTTGTCCGGGGCGGGTGGGGCACAGCGGCAGACGAGCCGTGCGGCTCCTTGCAAGGACTTGAGTTGTTTGCTGTGCTCCTCGCCTGGGCCAGGAAACTCCCTTCTCGGCCAGCCCCCTTCCTCCGCCGGCCAGGTCGGGCCAGGCGCTGCTTCCCCTCCTCCGCCCGCCGCGGAACCCGCCCTGCCCCAGCGGTGGGCGTAGCGGCGCACGAAGAGGGAGGCGCCAGACACACCTGAGCCCCGCTTGCCTGGACGGCTGTGGCTCGGGCGGCTTCCCCACCCTGGCTGGGGGCAGTCTCGGCGGCGGCGCCCTTGTACCGCCGGCCTCCCCGCTGGCAGCGCCCTCCCGCCTTCCCCTGCCCAGCTGGGGCCCCCTGGTTGTCCCTGGGGGCGGGGACCGCCCTAGGAGTTTGGCTTCATTTCCCCAGAGAGCGAGTGAAATCCGCCCCCCATGCACGAGGTAGAGCAGGCAAAGGCGCAGCTGGAGCCGAGAAGGCGGGGGCCCGGGGCTCAGGGTCAGTCGCGAGGGGAAGGGAGGCGGGGATGCTGGAAGCGGCTTTGCAGGTGAGCTTGGTGAAGTTGACAAAAGTCTGGGGGCGTTCGCAGCTCAGCGCTTGAGCCGCCGTTTTCAGCCCCCAACCTCCCGCAACGGAGGGAGTGTGAGTCAAGCCTCACAACTCAAAAGACAAGCTTAAAAAAAAAATGTTTGTGGTTCTTTTTTATTGGGCTTCTGATTTTTATTTCATTTAGAGTTCACATTTTCAAGCAACCGAGCTGTCTAGATTTCCTTTTTTATTTTATTTTTTTTTTAAGAGAAAACTTGAGATTCTCACTTAATTACATTATTCCAGAGCCTGGGGTGTGAAGAAAAAGCAACAGCTGGCAGTGCTGAGTATTTCTGTGATGGTTTTAAATATTCAAATGGACAGTGATTTTAAAAAAATAAATGTTTTCCCCCCTCCCCCCCAAACTGAATATTGCAATGTTAAACAAAATGAAACTGACCAGAAACAAAGGTGAAGATGGGTTTTGTATTTTGTGGTCCAAAGTGAGTGAGGTATAAAAAGTAAACAAACTACTTAAATAGTGAAAAGTAAATTATTATTTTTAAATACATTCAATTTATCTTCACCCACGAAAGCTTATGCTCCAATACGTCTGTTAGTCTATAAGGTGCCACAGAATTCTTTGTTGCTGTTGAACCTAGGGGCTTGTCTACATTTACTGCACTGCTGTGGTGCTTGGTGAAGATGCTACCTACGCCTATAGGAGAATTTCTCCTGTTGATGTACCACTGTCTACACGAGGGGTTAGGCTGCTATAACTACGTCGCTCTAGGGTGTGGATTTTCCACACCCTGAGTGATGTCGTTATTTCAACATAAGTGCCTTGTGTAGACCAAGCCTAACCATCTTTCAGTCTACTTTGCTTCCAGTTTGTCCTTTCAGTTAAAGCCCTGATTATCCCTCACCTTGTAGGTCTGATGTATGGGATTTCTGCACAGGCTTGTAGAATCTGCCTCTAAGTGAAATTAGCAGAAAAGAAGAACTGACCTACTGATGGGGCATGTCATCTGCACCATGCATTTTCATTACAGATTTTTCTGTATTTAATAATATTGCTAATGAAATATTTTTCTGTCAAATATGTGTGCCGGGAAACTGGAATTCAGGAGCTAACATTTAGGAACTGGGAGCTTTTCCCCCTTTTTGCTTTTTGTTTAATAAACATATCCTGCCAATTCTCTCTATCTTTAAGGCAAATATAGGGCCAAAGCGTGACCCATTCTGCATGCCCGTGGAGGCATCAAGCTCTCTTTACTACTCTGTGCCATCTATTCATACTGTGAATGGCAGCATGGAGAGACGTGAAACTTCCTCAGGACCACTACATTCCTCATAATATGTGATTTTGGGTGGAGAGTGAATGTCAAGGAACAGGGAATACTCCATTCCCCCGCACCAGCCAACACAGTTGCACCAAGGAATATGTACTGCACCAGGTATAGGGCTGCCAAAGGTTACATACCCCCTGGAGCAGGGAAACAGATGGTGACAGCTCCTGGGGCAGCATAGCTGTGTGTTGCCCCATACATAGGGCTTGTGGCAAAAATCACACTTGTCCCATAGTAATTATGTTAGAATGAGTTACAGTACTATGCTAAACTTCAAAATATTAATGGGTCATAGCCTACCATCAAAATTACACAACTTTAATTCATTTCAAAAAGAATTGCAGACATGGTAAAATGCCAGGATATGGCTACAATTTGGACCCAATTATGACACATTTCCAAATGTAATGCTCCAAGTGAATCAGACTACTCATATTATTAAGCATTATGCTCCACAATAAGTATTTGCCCTTTTGAATCCTTAGTTATGTGTCAGCATATTTGCCTGGAGAAATCCATAGCAGTATAGTTAACAAGAGCTGGGTGATTCAAACTCCTTATTCTGAAGGAGTGGCTAAAAACCTGAACCCTCTTATCACATTTACATAAATATTTCAGTCCTTGTAGAATCATACTCTGAATGTATTTACCCTTCACCAAAGCTAACAAAGTACTGTCTTTAAGATAAGAATATACTCCCCTAATTGAAATCCCAGTATACTTTATTGTAATTCTTCTACTGGTCTCCATTTCTACAGATCATTATTGGCTTCTGTTGGTTGGTTTCTCCTGGTAGACCAGTTGCCGTGGGAGCCAGCAAAGTAATAGGCCTGTTCCATTGTTCCAAAAATATATTTGCCAACTGGACTCAGATAAAAATTTTAAACAGAAAATTCCATTGGGGTTGGTGAAGAAAAATAGTTTTTATTTTCATATTTCACAAACAGGTAAACCATGCCCTTCATATGCTCAGCACTACATGAGGTAACTAGGAGCTCATTTATATCTACAGGTGGATCTTTCAGTCTGTTTTCTTTCTCTGCCAGCTTCTTGTCTCAATGTATTCCTGGCTCTAATGGTTTCTTATTTTCTTTTATTTTTATTTCTTCTGTTCACTTTCACTTCTCTTTAATTCATCCATGGTTCTTCTCACACATTTTAAACTTCTGCTTGCTGACTGTTCCCTATTTCTTTCCTCTAAGGTGGAGCCTGCTTCTCTTACTACATTTTATTCAGTTTTCTCCTCCTCCCCCGCCAAAAATCTGACCATTCCAGTTTCTACAAAACCTTTAAGAAGGTTCTGATTCATCCCTTCGCTGAAAACATGTTCCTTGATGTCTGACTAGAAAGAAAGTAAGAAAAATATTATACCATGTGTACCCTACAGCAACAGTACCCTGAAAACAAAATAGTTGTTTAAGGTGTACCCTTTAGTATAGATTCAATAATAGATTTATAGAATTTGTTTGAATGTATATATGGATGAATGTATATTTTCATTATGTTCTTAAAGAAAAATAGAAGAAACACAAACAACTTTCTCAAATGCCTTTTACTAGTCACTGTAGTAAGTAGTCCAAAAGCGGAATTGTTCTGGTATGTGTTTACTTTCTCAACAAAACAAAAATTCAGATATGACACTTGTATTAAAATAAACTAAAAATACTAAGTTTGGGCAATAGTTTAGAACAAAATTTCATTAACTACAGTTTTAATACCATTTTAAGATATTTCTTGTCTTGCAAACTGTAAGCGAAAGCATGTTACTAAAAATTATGGCAATAGAAATGAGCAATTGTGTTAGTTCACTTAGAGTCACTATAGAGTTTTGCAGAACTTTCATTAACATCAATAACAATTCCAACTGCAGAGCAATAGGAAGATTCTGAACATCTTCCTTTCCATGTTCAGGCAGGACTTGCTACAATCATTCATGTCTTTTTCAGCTACAGAAAGAAATACCACAATGTGGCTACTGTTGAAGACCATTCTGAAGCCTCAGCTAGTTAAAAATGTCCCATTCACTACAGGAGCTTTCCATCAGCTTCTGAGGTGTTGGTTTTTAACCAATAAAGCCCTATATAATTTATGATCTGGCTACTGTAAATACTGTCTCTCTTCCTATGTGTCATTGCAGTGACTTCAATCAATTGGTACACTTATGTCACTAGATGTGTATTTTTGAGGCCTAGTGGCAGGGCCCATAACTTGGGGTAAAGTTTGGCACTTTGTACCACACTATTCTGAGCATGGAGCCCCTTCAAATGGCCCCAAGAGGATCACTTTGGGGCAAGGTGGATCCTCCAGTGGTATAAAACCAGTGTTGCAACTCCAATACCACCACCTCCTTCCTACTGGTGGCATAGACATATGATCTTGGAAAAAGAGATGTGGCATTTGCTTCATTGATTACTAATTGGTCCATGGGCTTGTAACAGGTCCCCTGCCCGGCCTTCTTCCTGGGGCCCACTGGCTGCCCCAATAAAGCACAGAGAGGCTTCTCCTTCTACAGCACCCATGGCTTTCATTTACAGACTTCTCCCACCACCAGTGATATACTATATACAGTTTGCAGGCCTTACAATCTCCACTTCCACCCAGAGACTGACCTTCCCCTGGCCATCCCCCCTTCCTTCTGGCTGCCAGCCAGCCTCTATAGCCCTTGAACCCTCAGGCCCACAGGTGCAGCCAGTTCTAAAGGCCAGGCACCAGACTTCTTCCCAGCCCCAATCTGTTTCCCCTGATTGGGGCTGGCTGAGCAGGGGCTAATTAGGTGCCTCTGCACCAGCACCCTGCTACAGGGCCCATTGGAATATAATCTAATTCCAAGTGTTCTGGCTGGTTGAAGTTATTTAGGAATATGAGAGCAACACACCACAAGCCAAGGATTGGAGCGAAGGGCCTAGAGACCACCTTTGCATCTTCCCTTCTGAATGGCACTGTTTTAGTGCACTCCTTGATTGCAGTAGCCAAGAACCTAAATCAGAATGTTTTCAGTGCAGCATTACTTGCTCTGACACTCACTCCCTTGGTGGTCCACCAGAGGCCATATTTAGTGTACTTTAAAATATGGGTCAAGAGACATACTTTTGCCAAGCATTAGACTATGAACTGTTCTATATGTTGAAAGGAGTCTAACGTGGCAAATGTTCTTAATTTATATCATGCACTCAGTTATGAAGGGTATCTAAAAAATAAATGAGACTGGCCTGAAGAAACTAATAATTCTCCAAACTCTGCCTTTATTAATCCATCAGGGGGGATGATATGCAGCTTGTCTTTAATTGTGAGAATAATTATTAAAAAAAGGTTTAAATCCTTCA